ACTTTTTTTATAACAATATTGTTTAATTTAAAGATATTTCATTTAAAAGACTTACAATAATTTCTAATGTGTTTTTGAATTTAATTACAATGAGGTGTTTTAAAATATGCAACTGACGCAACTAAACTTTTAACAATGTAAATATCTTTATTTAATAAAGTTACATTTATTTACGTTGCCCTTTTTTGTTACGCAACAAAATATCATAACAAGGCCTGATGAATGATAAACCAGAGAAAGTATATAGAGGTGTTAGAGAAACATTTTATCCCTCAAATTAAATACTGGTTATCTATAGGTTAAATATATAGTCATCATTAGGCAGGGTTGACATCCAAAAACCCAAACCCAAAAACCCAAGAGCAAAAATATAAGATATGTAATAATGCTATAATGCAAAAATATAAGATATGTAATAATGCTATAAATATAAGATATGTAAATTTCAAAATTATACTGATTTTTGTTAAAAACAAAATTCTGCTAATAACATCAAAAAACCGAAAATACTATTTTTCTTTTTGAATTTAGTAAGAAATAGTAAAAAAAAAAAAACAAAGCTTAAAAGCGGTAATCTTCATTTAATTACAATTTTTATTTTATCAAAAGCCAGTTAGCGAAAAGGTTTTTTTAAAAAGGGGAAAACCCAATCTAATTGTGTACACTTAAATCCATTTAAGAAAATCAACCATAAACAAGTGTCTCCTCATTTTAAAAAAATAACCATAAAAAAGAATGTTTTAAAGGGAAAAAATTAAGTTTAAATTAGTATATGATTTTAAAATAAGGAAATTTTTTTTAAACAACAATTAAATTTAATTTATAACTTTTTTTATAACAATATTGTTTAATTTAAAGATATTTCATTTAAAAGACTTACAATAATTTCTAATGTGTTTTTGAATTTAATTACAATGAGGTGTTTTAAAATATGCAACTGACGCAACTAAACTTTTAACAATGTAAATATCTTTATTTAATAAAGTTACATTTATTTACGTTGCCCTTTTTTGTTACGCAACAAAATATCATAACAAGGCCTGATGAATGATAAACCAGAGAAAGTATATAGAGGTGTTAGAGAAACATTTTATCCCTCAAATTAAATACTGGTTATCTATAGGTTAAATATATAGTCATCATTAGGCAGGGTTGACATCCAAAAACCCAAACCCAAAAACCCAAGAGCAAAAACCCAACATAATAGGTTTTTGATCTTAAATTTTTTATTTAAAATATCTTGATTTTTAAATTTATTTCCATTCACACTCAAGATTTGATGCTGCTCAAAAAATGTTATAAAAACAAAAAGTTTAGTGAATTGTGAGATTTTATTTTATTTGGAGTAGTAATATTCAAACTTAAAGGTTTAAAACAAAGTTGTCTAACAACTTAGTCATCAACAATTGCGTGTCTTGACTTTAATGTATGTAAATTCGTACAAGCATTTTTGATTTTCCTAAAAGATTCCTGATTTTGCTCCGAGTAATCCCAAAAGTAGAGAAAAATCTTTTAATGGACAAATGTGCAACTGTCGTTATAATCTTGTAAAACTTCCAAGCAATTTGTAAAACTTTCCTTTCTATAATTCTCTACCAATTTGTTCCTGATTTTGTACTTTTTACACTATCATTAAATATTTTACACTATCATTAAATTGATCAACATTCCTATATTAATGAATGGCAATCTTCTTACTGAGTCGTCCTCTTTACGTCTTCTTGGATTATCGCTTACTACTGACCTTTCATGGAAACCATATATACAATCGATTGCTAAATTAGCTTCTGCTAAGGTTGCTTCTCTTTATCGTGCTCGCCATTTCCTTACTTCTGATTCCATTCTCTACCTCTACAAATCTTTTATTCGTCCCTGTATGGAATACTGTTGTCATATTTGGGCTGGTTCTTCTAACGATTCACTTTTTCTTCTTGACAAGGTCCAAAAATGCATTGTAAATGTTGTTGGACCTGGACTGCTAAGCTTGAACCTCTTTCCCATCGTTGTAAAGTTACATCTCTTTCTCTTTTCTACAAATACTATCATGGTCACTGCTCAAAGGAGTTATCATCTCTAGTTCCATCAACTAAAATTCATTCTCGTTTTACTCGTCATTCAGCTAAGTCTCATTCGTTTAGTGTCTCTGTCCCTGCATGCTCTAAAAACTTTTATTCATCTAGTTTTTTTCCCCGCACTTCAATCCTTTGGAACTCTCTCCCATCTTTATGTTTTCCTGACTCATACAACCTTCAACTTTTCAAGTCTTCTGTCAACCGTTTCCTTGCTCTATAACTCTGTTGTGTTGGATAAGAAATCTTTTAGTTTAAATGCTTAGAAGCCTAACATAAAGTCAGGATAGACTTCATTTATCCATTCCCCAGCTTCTTCTTCTTGACTTCTATCCAAGGTTCTTTCTAAATAAATAAGTAAAGTTATAAGAGTAGTAAACTTAAAAGAAACTTTTATCAGTATTTATTTTAATTTGATCAGATGCAAGTTTTTAATTTTTTTACAATTTTATAATTAACTTTATATTTTGGATCTGTTAAATTGGCCTGAAAATGATATGGAACAATTGCTTTTTTAAATGTCCTTAAATATCATCTTTGTATCGTCTTGGATACTATGAACAATTATAAAATCATTACTGAATGTACTCCAATCATCTTGATTTAGGATAACATCACAATCATCATCAAGATCATATTTCATTATACTGATTACTTCTTCATTTACTTTACTAAGAGTTCTGAAGATATCTATTTTCTATTTGGGGGTTCGCACCCAGGTCAAATATTTTAGGCAGCTAGGTAGTCAAGTCAAGATTTTATACTATGTTGAATGGTATATTTGTTGAAAAAAAAATCTTTCAACCTGCAAATCCAGTTCATTCTTCTGATTACTTGTTGTTGAAGTAACAAATACAGAAACAAATGTATGCTGTTGCATAATCATTGCAGTTAAATGAATAATTGACGAAGATTTACTAATAAAGCTTAAGTGATCATGATCATTATCTTCTGACTGGTTAGACTTCTTTGATGCTGCATATGTAGATGGTATTGACTCTAAAACTGATATCGCTAAATATACTTCTGCAAAATCATTAGCGCTTCATTTTTTTTTTTTACCTCTAAATTTTTAAAAATGGATCCTAACTCTTTCAATTTTTTTAACTATGCTCTCTTTGCAATAATTACATATTACTCTATTTGGTTGATCACTTAATATGGTCACTTTATTCCACCCACTGGTCTAATTTCTTCTCCCTAATTGATACTTTGACATGTTAATGCCAAATAAAGACGTATAATTCAATTCTATTATAAATCTAACTAAAAAGATAACTCCATTTAAAAATAGATTTATATTAGAAAAAAATACAATCTGATTATTAGTTAGGCTTTTGTATAAGAAAATAGAACTTTCAAAAATAAAAAATAGCTTTTAAATAACTATAAATTTATCAAACTTTGTTACTAAAGATTTGTATGCAACTTAAGTAAAACCCAATAAACCATCCAAAAACCCAGTTGGGTTGAGTGTTTGCTCAAAAAACCTGGTTTTTGCCAACCTTGTCATTAGGAGATGATGACTTTATATTTCAACAGAATAGTGCTCCATGTCATACAGACAAGTTGTTGTTGACATGGTTCCGAGACAATTGATTCTCTGTATTTAAACGGCCTGGAAATTCACCAGATATAAATCTAATTGAGAACTTATGGAGCATTTTAAAAGACAAAACACATAAAGTTCCTATCACTACAAAAAAGTAGCTCATAAAGAGGATAATCCATGTCTGGTTCTTTAGAAAGAGAATCATCAAATTATCCCATGATTTTATCATTAGCATGCCAAAGAAATAAATATTAAAAACTTCAAAAAATATTTATTCTGTGACTTTGTTTTTATGTAATGATCATTTTTTCAAGTAAAAAACTTGATTTTTAATTAAATCTATAACATAATTTTCAAATTTTATTATTAATCTATTTTTTTACTTATTTTATAATTAGTAATTCTTTGGTTTGGCTCAAATTCTTTTTGAGATTACTTTGAATTGCTTTTTTAGAAAAAAGAGATTTTTTTTCAGGTTTGCACTCATTTTGCAGATTAAAATGTTAATAAAAATATTTTTTCAAAAGTGTAGACAACTTCTGTAACTTTTTATTATTATTTAGTTAGGACCATCGATATATTATGCACACAAAATCTCCAGATTTGGATAGCCACTCCCCTACAATTTTTATACCCCCTACCCTATGCATACGTATGCTTGGAGGTCTTACACCTCCCCCATTACCTCCCCTCCCCCATATAAGTTTTATATGTTTGGTGATCGAACCCCCTCCCCCCAATTCCTTTCACGCATGCAAACAAGATCACTTTTTTTTTTGCCCTGTTCAACCTTTATAACCTAAACAGGCCATGAATGTGAACAACATTCACCTTTTATTAATGGGCAAGTGAATGTGAATTGAAACATCAATTTTTTGCATTTGCATCATTTGATGGAAACCCTCTTCCCCCCCCTCCTCCCTCAAACACACTTGCGTGCAAATTACTTAACTTGTGACAGCCTCACACTCATGGTGTGTAAGTAGTATTAGTATGGTTCCTCATTTCAAAAGCTACAAAATTTAGAAAGTTCCTTGTGTTATTATTCCTTATTATTATTTAAATATTACAAAAAAAACAATCTAGTCAAAATACAGTAGTTTTCAATAAGTATTATTTATAAACTTACCAGTTTCATACCTCAACAAAACAATTAAAAATAAAAAACATAAAGTAATTTAATTAGAATAAGAAATCAATTTTGTAAAAAAATAGTTTGCAAGTATATTTTTTAATTTTTATTTAATTGCTTTTGAATTAAAACTTAAATTTTTTATTAAGTAGTTATTAATTTATAGATTTTATCAAAGATTTTTATCTTTTATTTAACTTCTTGTGAAAAAATAAACAAAAGACATGATTTAAGCTTGTAAACTTACATGGAAGGCTCTTGAAAGATTTTTTGTGATTACAATAGGCTTAAATGGATCAAAACTGCTCCTCTGCAATTGACCATACATAACATAAGGATCATCAATTTGAAAACCACTATCATCATTGAAAGAGATTA